AAGTGACCTTAATCTAATCCTCACGGCACATCTGAGAAGCACAGCAGGACCCTTACCAGCACCAGAGAACATCTCCAGCCTAGTGAACAGGTCAAAAAGCTTATTCTTTTCTGTAAGGCTTTAGCCAAGCAAACTAAAAGCTGAGCTTAATGTCTTCAGAAGAACAAATAACGTACTTCAAGTTAAACACACACAACGTTTTTCTGAATAGATCTGAGTTTTAAAAGCTCCGTAAACACATAATTATATGATGGTAACTATGACTTTTTCTGAACACAATTACGATTAAATAATGAAGCATCTTTGGTACAAAAAGGATTTTGACTCTATCCTTACTTTGCGTAGTCAGGTTTTTTTTTTCATTTGTATCTTTTTTTCTTTTTAACCTAGCAAAAGGGAACAGAAAATCTTCTGCTTGAAAAACATTGCTAACCCAGGTATAGTGGCAGGTGAGTTGGGGAAAACTAATGGTTTTCTTGCATTTAGTTTGATCAGATTTGTTGTGGTAATACTTTTTAAGAAGGTAGGCACAATAACTCCCCAGTATAATGCACTGAATGCATTAATGGTAATTTATGTATTGTATATATGTATTTTATTACATAGTCATAACTATGGTGTTTGTTATGCACACAGTTTTATATGCTTTATGCAGAAATTACTGGCAAAGCTATTTAGAAGTACACTTAGTATGTTTTTAAAGATGGTTCTGAAAAGCAGAAAGCTAGTGTTGATGATCTACATAGGAGGAATCAATTTTGGATCAACCTGCTTATTTCCATGTTAACTCCAACAGATGCAAAGAGCACAATCACACTATTTGATAGAGCACATTCTCAGTTACACAACACTATTTTGCAACACAGTCACCACCAATAGCTATGTATTTTCACCAGCAATGAGCAAGAGCTGCATGCTGCACTCATAAAAATCTGCACCAGCAGAGTGACCCACTGTCACTGTTGCCACAGCTTCAACACACCGCCCACTACCTTACTGCGCTCACAGCCACTGTTTGGTCTCCATCAACGTTCACAAAGTGTTGATGAATGTCAGTGGGTGCCATTTTTTCCACATGGAGGAATTCAGTGACACCCCTTTGCTTTGTGCACACTTCCATGTCAGACACCATTTTCTCAGACTGTTGCCATCTGTCACACAGCAACAAAATGCAATGGAATACTGGTGGGAAGGTTGAGCCTCTGCTGCCATTCCACCAACAGCCACCTCTAATCTTGTGAGAGGCATCATAAAATAGGGGGCATTACTTTGTAGCAGCCCTCATAATTTCAGTGCACAGGCACGAAATTCCCAGCTCTTCCTATACACATGAATACTACCTGATAAGACTCTTGCCATTTATCCCTGAGGTTTCAAAGTGTACCTCAAACTGTTTCAAACTGTATAAGCTGCCTCTACAAACTAAATTTAAATGGAAAAACAAACAAACAACAAAAAAAAAACAAACCAAAACAAATAGAAACTTGGTTGTCTGCATATATGCCTTAAATCCATAGCCAATTACTTGAAAATATGACATCATCTGCACTGTTGCAAATATGAATCTCTGTTCTGCTTTACAAGGATGAGTATTTGACAAGATAACCAAAGACGAAGAACTAGTTAACCTTACAGAGAAAGTGGAATACTAGGCATGGGGGGAAAACAGTGAGGAGAAATACATGCTTTAGAGCTCACAGTGGGTTTTGGTTTGTTCTCCAAACTCTAGGTTTCCTAGTCTAGATTTCCTATGACTCTGACCTCTGCCAGAAGCCACAGTTGGGGGAGCTGCTGGCCTCGGCTGTTGACTTCTCCTCCCTTGAGAGTTGGAAGCCATTGGCCACCAACCGCATGTAGACATGATAACTTCAACAGGCTTTCCTCCTCAACACTGCCAGGTAGCCATCAGCACCTTCAGCTTCTCTTTAAAAAAAAAGAGGAGAGGTTAAGTAATCGTTCTTCATTTTTCTGGGTTACGCTGCTGGATTAACTCTGAAATCGGTGACAGGCCAAGGACCAAAGATAAATTCATTCTTTGTCTCACACTGCATTCTCAATCAGCTTAACACCAATGACCTTGGATACTGTTTATACATAAACATATCTTAATATTGCCTCAAACAGTTATTAAAGGTATACTTCTGTAAATCTAAGAAATACACAGTGTACTTTATGTTTTATTTCATTGACATTCTCAAACACAATATCAAAATGTGCCTTCCCTGGGAATTTAACACAGGTTCTCCTACCTCAAAACAGCACGTGAAGAAAGTGATTCTATTTAGAAACAAAAAGGTGTATTCCTAAAGCAAGTCTTGTAACCTCAGTAGTTAGAAGAAAACATATAGCATAAATGGAAAAAACCTCTTGAAGTAAAAAGCTTGCCCATGTATTTTCTATTTCAACCTCCCCTGAGACTGTTGAAGGGATCATGACTGAAATTCTGAGTCAAGCCTTCAACGGTATCTGTCTGGAGACTTTCACTGCCTTTGATTGGATCCAATTTTTATGTATCATCGGATTTTGCATTTGCATCAGAATTTGACCATGAGGGCACTTGGAGAGTATCACTCCCTGATGGGACGTCCATTATACAGTCATGGAAAACAAGAAAAGGTTTCTGCCTTAAAAATTAGGTAAGAGCTATATCCACAGTAAAAGGCCATGATTTGATGAAACGTGCAAGGTATCATTTTCCTTGAAGTGCCTACTGATTCTTTCGGTGCTTTCAGATAAGTTTCAATAGCTTCTAAATGCTCAGAGAAATGAGAGGGTCCTGCTTTTAGTTGTAAAGAAATTTTATGGGAAGAACAGAGAACACTGGAGGTAACACTGAAGAGAAACATGAATTAGTAACAAACTGAAATTAACCATTGCTTCAAATAATATTTTTTTTACTGTCAGACTCAGATTTTTGTTTTGTGGCAGCACCACATATCTCAGGAATGTCATCTTTGTGTTACTTGTTCACAATGAGTTAAGTTTTAGAGCAGAAGCTTTGTGACTTAACCTAGCGTTTACATATCCTCTTCAAAACATCTTCTGCCCTTTGCACTCCTCAGTACCACTAAAAGGTCAGGATTCTTTCGTGATAATAAAAGATTTTGTTTAGAATTGCTACTTGAATTACATAGTCAAGTTGTAGAAGGTAAGTGAAAATGTGTGTAGTTCTAATATATGAATGAGCCATAAAGTTATGGAAAATACTGCTTTGCTCACATTTTAAAAGCTTAAAAACTGTGTAGTTCTGTATTTTTGAAACAAGTAATGCAAAAAGAAAAGTTGCTACTGGTTGTCAGAAAATTTCACGTGTTGCTCATGCATACAAACAATTACACAGTAGAATTTGAGTACTTCAAACCAAATATCTGTGCAAGCTGAAGAATTTGTAATATTGTTAATTTAATCGCTAATATAATTTCTTAAAACACTGGCACTCTTGGTGTAGTTTGTGGGTAGCTGTGTTCCCTCACCAGCACTCCTTTGCACTACACAGCATGGCATGCAGCATGGCACACTCTGCATCGTGTGCTGTATCTCGTTCCTGTGTCCTGTCCTGTGCAACAAGGACACAGCACTGGGCCTGGGGTCAGAGAGCTCAGCACCTCCTGTGACCTCTGGTGGTCTACAGGTGCCTTCTGAAATCCTACCTACTGCAGTTGGATTGGAAGGATGACAGGAACGGCTGATGTATACGGTAAGTCAAGGAACTCAAATTTAAGTCATTATTTCTGCTGCCTTTTTGGTTCCGCATGGCAATCTAAAGAATTGTAACGACCCACTGCTCTCAGTGTTACTCAGGCTTCTTGTATTGGTGAAATGCTGGTGGTACTGCAAACATGGCAATAAAGTGACTTTGACTTAAAGTCCTGGTATTTTGGTGGTATGTCCACACGTTAGAGTTACCACAGGTAAGCTATATTCACACACTGCAAAACAGTTGCAACCATCAGCAAACACGCAGTGTTTTATTAAACAGATCAAACATGAGCGTGACAGGCAAAAGAAGAAGGTGCCCTGTGAGCAAGCCCTCTTGCCCTGAAGCAGCACTGCAATTCTTCAAAAGCAGCGTTCCTCGTACATTTGCTTTCTGTAGGCGTGCAGCCCTCGCTCATATGCGGCACGCTGACTTCTGTGCCACGGCAGCGGCTTTGGGCATAGCTGGGGGCTGACGCGGGCAGCTGGGGCAGCTGGACTGCCTGCGGGAGCTGCCTTGCAACCAGAGCCCAGGCAGCGCCCAGGCCACGAGCCGACGGACCCGCTCTCACAGCGACCTACAGTCCTTAGGGAGCCGCCACAGGCACCGACCCGCCGGGTGGGGCAGGGAACTCGCTTACGTTTCTACTTTGAGAGACAGAGAGAGCAGGTCTGTACAGCGGTTTGGCATCAGGTGAACAAGCGCTGTCGGATTTCTTCCTTATACCCGCTGAGCTCCCCCAGTCTACTGACATGCATCAAGTGATCGGATAAACACACACACATCGCAAAACCTTTGTGCCTGCGCCAGAAAAAGCCCGGGCAGACGCTCCCCGCGGTGCCCCCGCCCGCCCGGTTCCCGTCAGCGCGGGGCGCGCAGAAACTCGCTCCGAGTTCCATGCGGGATCGCTCGGGGCTGATTCCGAGCGCTTATTTCCTGCTTCGCCAGGAGCGAAAGCGCACGCACCGGTCCTCGGCTACTTGGGGACAGGAGCCGGGCGTGCCAGCCGCCGCATCGCTCGGCGGGGTGCTCCCAGGCTGCCCCTCCGCCCGCCGCCCCGCTCACCTCGGCTCGGCTTCGCTCGGCGCCTCGCGCTGAAAGCGACCACCGCCGCTGCCGCCCGCCCGCCCGCCCCGCGGGCACACACAGGCGTCAGAAGAGGGGGACCCGGCCCAGCCCGGCCCCGGCCGCTCGTCGCCCGCAGCCTGCCCCTATTGTCCGCCCGCCGCCCCGCCCCGGCCCGCCCCGCCGCGCGGGTGGCCGCCGCCGGGAGGAGGAGGAGCGGCGGACGGGCTCGGGGCGGCCCCGGGTCGGGGACGCCGTGAGGGGGCCCTGCCGGGGTGGGGCCTGAAGGGACGGCGGCAATACGGCAAGGAAACGGAGGGGGTGCTGGATGGCACCTCCAGGTCCCCTTTGCCAAAGACCCGTTGGTCATCTGAGCGCTGAGATTTGGGAAATGTTGCGGTATCGCTGTTCAACAGGGAGGGCTTTGCCTGAGCCCCACAGGCCCGTTCTGCTTGACCGGAGGTGCACCTGCAGCCCACCGTCCCTCAGGAGCGAGGAGCAGTAGGCGGCGAGGGCCACGAGGGGCCCCCGGGTCGGGGAGCACAGCACCAGCCGGGCTTAGAGAGGGACGGCTGCTGGAGCCCTGCCGACAGCCGGCAGCCGGCCCTAAAGGTTCCGTAAGGTCACGGGACTCGCGATGTTTTCCTTTGGCGTTGCTGATAACAGCGCGGTGAATGATTCGGTCGGTATCACCCATCACTAGAGAGCACAGTTTGCATCGGGAGAGCTTTAAAGAACCAGAAAACCCCTATTGCCCCACGCTTTATTGTCATGTCAAACAGGAGACTGTCGGGTATAATGCCTGAGAGCGGACTTTGCCCTCTGTTTATACCATGATTTCATCTCTGTGTCGGGGAAGGTAAACAACGCAGAGCGGAGGCACAGATACCGCTCTGCCTGAAGCGTGGGTGTCCACAGGCTTTGTGGCTACATTTCAAGTGCAGAGAACTCTGTCTGTGTATATATATATAGGTGCAGATATATTATTTATGCAAACCGCTTCTTCATGCTGCCTGCACTACAGCCCTCGTTGTAAGCTGGATGTTTTTCCATCGCTTTCCAAGCTCTGCACATCAGGGCTACTCATCTGTGAGCTGCACACAGCAGTGCTTATCTCCCGGCTCATGCCGAGGGCTGTGTGCACACACACACATGCAATACACTAGATGAGAATTGCCTCGAAAGTACAATACAATAAAAGGGAAATTAACCTCAGTAATATCACTTCTTGTCGAGACTTGGTCCTGTTCAGCGTTCCTGGTATTTTGTTATTTATTTACTTTCATTTTTTTAATTTCAGTTTGGTATTCATTTTCAAATCGATAATTGTTCCCACCCCCCTGAAACCAGGCTTAATTTCGAATAGGTAGGTAATGCTGTTTAAGTCATTGAGTTGTCTCATGCTTAAAATAAATTACGCAAATGTCATTGTAGGAGTGAACTGCCACAAAGATAGCATGCTGATGCTGCCACGGCATTTCCTGATACTGTAATAGTAAGCGTTAGTGAGCTGTTCTCAAATTCTCACCAACTTCCCTTGTTGGAAAAAGAATGCTACAAAATGGAGATGCATTAATATTAAAAACTAGAGCATCTATTATTAGCTCTGATGTAATAACACTGATGTAATTTTCGGAGAGAGAGTTAAACAATACATCTTGGAACTGTATGTTTGTTGTTTTTTTATGGGTCCCTGGAACCATAACTTTGATTAAGAACTGCTGAGTTAAGCTAAAACACCCTTCCATAAAAACAAAACACAACTGTTTCTGTCCTTAATTAATTATTTAACAGATTTAAAAAGCGATACTTTTTCAGCCTTCCCCTGAGGTATGATGGATGTGAAACAAGAAAACATGCACTGATAGTAAGGCAAAGAGTTTGGTCTCTCTTCAGGCTTTTCACAGCGGTTCGTATCCCTGCAGTTACACCTTTTTGGCTAAAGAGTGGTTGCAAAGGCTGTTTCCATGCTCTGGTCTGTAGCCAGAGGTGTTGTGGTGTCAGGAAATCCCCACTACACGTGACTGAGGAAGATGCACGGTGTTCTGTAGCCACTTCTGTAGTTTAAACTAGGGGGTGCTTAAATTTGTTCCTGCTGTGTTACTGCATTTAACTGTTTCTTTGTAGTTGCAGCTTTGTGACTGAGCCTATCACCTATGGATGACACAGTCAATCATAAAGCAGGTTTATTACACTCAGATTGTTTGGGGAATATAGATTACCATCAGTTGTTTGCTGCGTACCAGCACATTGCAAACTGCTTATTTCAGCTACCGAGTGGTAGGTCTACTTTTTAATAGCGAATTTGTCTTGTGGGATGAATAATTTATTTTACCATTATTTTTCCTTCAGACCTCTGGAGCCCGTTATGCAATACCTCACTGTTCTGCACTGCTCCTATCGCATTATATCGGTAAACTTTATGTAAGTCAAGTGTTTTAACATAATATCTCATCTTGGAAAGAATTTGTGCACGCATTCTCCAGACAAGCACTAATGCTGTAACTTTTTAGGCAGTAATTCTCTCTCACATTTTTAACTGTTTAGTTGTCGGTCGTTTCAGGGAAACATTCAGACACTCCTTCACAAGAGCATCAACCCGATAAAAAGATAATCCTATATTATATGACGATCAACATCTGATGTTCAGGCAGAGACTAGACCTTTGGAATCAAAGTGATCGGTATTTTAGGCATTCTGGACAACACTTGAGAGCCTTTAACGTTCAAACGGCCGCAATTGGGACAGGTCCCCAAGCCCGGCCCGGCTCGGCTCGGCTCGGCTCGGCTCGGCCCGCCCCTCCCGATGAGGACACAAGATGGCCGCCGACCCCCACGGAGCCTCGCGCGTCGCCTTAGCAACAAAGCTGCGCCTTAGCCGCCAGCGCTCCGGAAGTCCCGCCCCCTGCGCGTCCCGGTTGCTAGGGAGCAGAACCGGAAAGGGCGGGGAGGGGGTGATGGAGCTGGGCGCGGCTGGCGCAGGTGAGAGGAGAGCTTCTTTCTTCTTGGCGTTATCGCGATAGGCTGTGGCTTGTGACCCTTGCTGTGGGACGGACGGTAGATGGCTGTCTCCCGAGGCTCCCCTTGCAGGCTTGCTCCCTGTCTTGTTGTAGTCGCTCCTAGTTGCTAACACTATGCTTACAGAGCGAAGCTGTGTGGCGGTGAGCTCCTGTGCTTTGTTGTCACAGAATCACTGAATGACCTGGGTTGGAAGGGACCTTAAAGCCCATCTGGTTCCAGTCCTCAGTGCTGTGGTGGTCTCAGCAGGTTATCGAGAGTACCTTCTTGCAGGTTAGAAGATTCCTGTAGAAAATTGAATTGTATTTAAAATGCTACAGAAAATAAGATTATTTTTTTGTGTGTGTGTGGCTTAATATGTTGTTATTTTTTATGAATTCTCGTATGTGGGTTTTAGTAATTAAATAGCATAAAATCATTAAACTTTGATTCGTGAATGGTTTGGGTTAAGCAACTGAATCCTTGTATCATTTCGTTTTGTTTTGGTAGTGTCTAAAAGGCCCAATGAAAAATTGTCAGCTTGTGGAGCTTAGTATTGTATAAGTACAGAAAAAAGACCCCGAGTGTGCATATGCTCTTTTATCTCTGTCTATTTATGCTTGATTTTAACTTATGACAAATGTGAAGGAAAATAGGTGTGCCTAAATCTCTGCAAAATTAAGGCCTAATAGGCAGTAGTATCTCTGCCTTGTTGGGTTTGTTGACTAAGGTTAGGCAAGAAAAGAAGTGGGAACACTGTATAATGGACTGTGGCTCTCAGGAGGAGAGAAACCGCAGCGGTACCGCCTTTGTAGCAGCTGTACGTCTCGACATCCAGACCTGGAAGCTTGAAGACCCCTTGAATGCCATTCCACTGTCTTAGCTGCAGAAATGGTATTAATTACGTTATTAGCAAAGATGAGTAATTAATACACTTTGAAGTTTGACTTTTTGATGAAAAATTCTACATGGAGGGAGAAGTAGATGGTGTTGTATGTGGATGAAACTTCATTCCCACTTCCTTGCATGGCAGCTTTTGTACTGGGGAGATGCATGTGCTAAGAGTGTGCTTTTGGCTCAGACGTTTGCTTCTGAATCAGCACTTTTCTGTAATGTATTTCTGTGAAGGATAACTATGAAAAGTCATTAGGCTGTAATTTTATAAGTAATTTGTGGAATGAACTGCAGAAGGACTAACTGATATGTTGAAATTGGTTATGTGAGCTGACTTTACCAGTATTATCTTTGCTCACATTACTGCTGTCAGAAAAGTTTCAGCTTCTCCCTTGGAGTAATAGCAGTTGCAGGTACTTGGCTCGTTCTTTTGTTGTGTATTTTCATCTTCTAGACTTCACTGTTTTTCTCAAACAAAAAGGGTGACGATGTAACACAGTACATGAGGGTGGACAGAAGTAACTGAACAAGACAGATGTGGATAAACTAATAAATATCTTTACTGATGATCTGGACAGGGGGATTGAGTGCACCCTCACTAAGTTTGCAGGTGACACCAAGTTGGAAGGTGCGGTGGCATCTCAAGTGCTGTGTTCAGTTTTGGGCTTCTCACTGCAAGAAAGGCATTGAGGCCAAAGAAGTACATTAAATTCAGTGAAGGGTCTGGAACATATGAGGAGTGGCTGAGGGAATTACAGTTGTTCAGAATGGAGAAGAGGAAACTCAGGGGAGACCTTATCTCTCTCTATATATATCTCTAGACCTCTCTGTAGCAAAGTGGGGTTCAGCCTCTTCTGCCAGGTAACTGTGATAGGATGAGAAGTAATGCACTTAAGTTGCAGCAGGGCATTTTCAGCGTGGTTATTAGGAAAAATTTCTTCTCTGAAAGAGTGCTGAGGTACAGAACAGGCTGCCCATGGATGTGGTGGGCACCCCATCACTGGAGGTGTTCAAGAAATGTATTGATGTGTTGGCGTTGAGGGACATGGTTTAGTGGGCATGGTGGTGATGGGTTGACCGTTAGATGATCTTAGAGGCCTTTTCCAACCTAATTGATTCTATGATTCTGTGACTGAAATGAGTTCAGAGGAGGGCTGCCAAGGAGGCTGAAGCACTTGGCCTGTAATGAGCAGCTAGGAGAGCTGTGCTTCTTTGGCCTGGAGAAGAGGCTGCTCTTGCCTTCCTTCCTTTGCTTGCTGTGAGGAGGTTTTTGGGGAGACATAGCCAGACTGTTTGTGACGATGAAGGTTGGGAAGATGGGAAACAACAGGAATAAGCTAAAATGAGAAGTTCAGGCTGAATGTATGGAGAACTATTTTTCCCATGAGTACTGTTGAGCAGTGAAAAAGGGCACCCAGGCCAGCTGTGTGGCCTCTGTCTGTGGGCATTTTCCATATGTGGCTAAATAAAGGTCTGACCGTATAGCTCACTCTCCTTGGAGCAAGCACTGGGCTAGGAAAGTCCTGAGGCTCCTTCTGAGCTAACGGTGATGTAAGGTTGGCGTGGACGAATGAGAAATCTAAAGTAGAAAGCGACACCTAGGTGTCAGGAATTGAAATGCAGTTTGTGAAGACTTCAATCTTAGGTATGGGAAACTCTGCTTTGAAATGTTTAATGATACCGCCATATCCTCTCACATCAGTGAGAGAAAGGAGAAATCGTAGCTATGTGAGATACAGTGAGACAACAAAAAGTAGGTGACGTTACTTTGGTTCTCTCCTTTATGGAATAGCAAATTGTGATTCTTCATGGAGCATGCAGTGGATTTTTCTCTTGAGTTGTGTGTCAACACCATAAAGTAGGAGGCATTACTTTCAGAGCAGTCCTTGTATTGTGGTTTACAGTTGGTGAGTGAAGTAATCCATGTGAATGCTCCCACCCAAAACAGACAGAGAAGACACTTATATGTATGTTTACCTGCTGGAGAGGAGCTCTGTTGAGAAGGACCTGGGTGACTTGGTGGACAACAGCTTGGTCATGAGCAGCAGTGTCCCCTTGTGGTCAAGAAGGCTAATGGCGTCCTGGGATACATTAAAAAGAGCATGGCCTGGAGGTCAAGAGGTGATCCTTCCTCTCTACTCTGCCTTTGAGGCCACATCTGGAATATTGTCTCCAGTTCTGAGCTCCTCCATTCAGAAAAGGCATGAAACTTAGAGAATCCAGAAGGGGGTCACAAAGATGATAAAGGGTGTGGAGCATCTCCCAAATTGGGAAAGACTGAAAGCCTTGGGAATATTTAGTCTGAAGAAGAGAAGACTGAGAGGGGTTCTTATCAATGCTTATAAATCTCTAAATTACAAATGGATCAAGCCAGGCTCTTTTCAGTGGTGCCCAGCAATAGGGTAAGGGGCAATGGGCACAAAGTAGAACATTAGAAGTTCCATCTGAATGTGAGGAAAAGCTTCTTTACTATGAAGGTGATGGAGCACTGGAACAGGCTGCCCAGAGAGGCTGTGGACTTTCATTCTCTGAAGATATTCAGAACCCACTTGGATGCTTTACCACCTACTGTAGGGAACTGCTTTAGCAGGGTTTGTACTCGATGATCTCCAGAGGTCTCTTCCAACCCCTATGATTCTGTGATATCAGTCTTAATTAGAAGTACAAAACTTTCTGTGCTCTATGATTGCATTTGTTTGTTTGTTTTTCAGTAAATATTACCTAGTGAGTTTATGCTAATGATTTCTGACGTTGGTTTGTTTAAGGAGAGACTTGAGCTGTGTGCCCATTCATGAAACTTGAATTGGATGGGGAAAGATCCTTGTAACTAGATTTCTTTTTTGAAGCTGCCCAGATGACAAATGCAGGCTCTCAGTCTAAACCTAGGATGTTCTTTTCTGTGGTTTTTAAAATTGCTTTACTTCTTCCTTCATACTTAAGTTAAAGCTCTCTCTACTTTTCTTCCTCTTTGACTTTTCTAGATTGTTTTTTTCACCTCGTGTTTTCAACTTCACAGCTGAACTCTGTTCTTTACTAACAGGTTGATTCTGCTTTGGGATAATGGCAGGAAAAGTGAAGTGGGTAACTGACATAGAAAAATCAGTTCTAATAAACAACTTTGAAAAAAGAGGCTGGATTCAGGTGGCAGAAAATGAGGACTGGAATTTTTATTGGTAAGTACATTAAAATACTGGTGTCTAAATTGTTGAAGTATTTAAATATATTAATAGCTTTAGTAATAGTACAAAATGCATATTTAGAAATAAAAGATGCATATGTTAGCTTTAATTTGCTGAAGTGCTCCTAGAAGTGTAACATTGTTTCATTGCTGCTTTTTTTTTTTTCTTTTTATTTTTTAACACTGTTGCTGATCTTTTCCTTGTATTTGTATTAGTAAATCCTGGTATCTGTGCAGGCCTGCAATAGTCATTAGGATTCATTGGGCCAGAAGGTCCTGTCAGCATGGATCCTTTCCCATCCTTTCTAATGACCACATATGCCTTTCCAGTTTCTCAAAGATTTTGTCATGCAGTGGAAAATCATTTACCTAGCAAAGAAGACCACTCAGGCCAAAGGCTATAGTCACTGAAGTGGTTTTTGTTTTGTTTTGAAATATGATACCCAATTTTACTCCAATTTCTTGTAAGCAGTAAGCAGAATTGTTGCTTTATGATTGGAGGGGATCTTTGACCTGAACAGAATCTTTGAAACATATATTTCCCTCAAATTTTTAACATACACATGCTTATGTATGTTCACAACGTAAGGAAAATGATCCAAGGTTCTGATATGTGATACAGTATTATGTTATCAGTGTTGCAGGGGCTTGCCCTGGTACCAGAGTGCAGACTCCTGTAATAAAGGTGTCAAGAACTGCATTTCCCTTCTTGTCCTCAGAAAAGATTTACATACAGACTTATTATTCAATATTTCAGTACTGAGGGTGAATGTAAAATTAAATCAAGATAATGGATTTGTCTCATACAAGACAAAGAGGGAGTAGGGCCCTTGGGGAAAAGCTAGCAGAGCTTGTTGGCTTTAAACTAGATCTGAAGGGGAACAGAGGGGATAGTGAGCCTTCCCATGATGAGACATGGAATGGCATAGCTAGAGACATGGAATGGCATAGCTAGATTAGAGGAACCCCTGTGCTAGCAGGGGCCTCGAAGGACACACTGCCTTGAGAGGTGCTGGCAACACTACAGCACATACAAAATCCTATGATGTAGTAGTGACTGCTGGGGCAATAGGAGAAGGCAATGGGGAAAATCAAGGGGGATACTTAAAAGGAATTAAGGAGTTATCCTTTAAGGAGGTGACAGGACCAGCTGCCCAGCTGAAGTGCTTCTACACCAATGCACACAGCTTGGGTGATAAACAGGGGGAGCTGGAAGCTACTGTGCTACTAGAAAATTATGATACAGTTGTTGTCACTGAAACCTGGTGGGATGATTTTTATGACTGGAGTGTGGCTGTTGACTCTACAGGCTGTTCAGAAGGGACAGGAGGGAAGGGGATGTTGCTATCTTTATCAGGAAGGGAATAGAATGTAAAGAGCTGTCCCTAAAGAATAGTCATGAGCAAGTCAAAAGGCTATGGGTGACAGTTAGAGAGCAAGGCAGCAAAAGGAGCCTTGTGATCAGTGTTTACTACGGGCTATTTGATCAAGTAGAGCCTGTAGATAAGGCCTTCTACCTTCAGTTACAGAGGCATTGTGATCATAAGCATTCATTCTGTAGGGGGACTTCAACCACCCAGACATCTGCTGAAAAAAATAGCACAGCAAGCTGTAGGCAATCCAGGAGGCTCCTGGAATGCACTGAGGATGAGTTCCCTCATGAGTGAAGTTTGGTTTGGTAGGAGAGGATTGAAGAAGCAACATCCCACCCACTGTAAGTGAAGACTAGGTTCATGATCACTTGAGGAACTTGAACCTCTACAAGTCTGTGGGTACTGATGAGATGCATTTCAGAGTCCTGAGGGAATTAGCTGATGTAGTCGCCAAGACACTCAATGATATTTGAAAAGTTATGGCAATCAGATGAAGTCCTTGGTGACAGGAGAAAAGGCAACATCACACCCATTGTTAAGGTGGGTAAAAAGAATGACCCTGGGAACTACCAACCTGTCGGTCTCACCTCTGTTTTGGGAAAGATAATGGAGCAGATCCTCCTGGAAGCTGTGCTAAGGCATGCAGAAAACAGGGGGGTGTTATGGGAGGACAAGCATGGCTTCATCAAGGGTAAATCCTGCTTGACCAACCTGGTGGCCTTCTATGATGGCGTCACTCCATCAGTGTACAACAAAAGAGCCACTGATGTCATCTATCTTGACTTCAGTAAAGCCTTTGGCATGGTACCCCACAACATCCTCTCCAAATTGGAAAGATATGAATTTGATGGGTGGACTGTTCCATGGATGAAGGATCCATGATCCATGGTTGCACGATCGAGTCCGGAGACTGGTGATCAATGACTTAATGTCTGGATGGAGATCAGTGATGAGTGGTGTCCCCCAAGGGTCAGTGCTGGGTCAGATACTCTTTAATATCTTCATCAGTGACACTGATGGTGGGGTTGAGTGCTCCCTCAGCAAGTTTGCTGGTGACAACCAAAGGGACAGGATGCCATCCAAATGGACCTAGACAGGCTTGAGCAGTGGGCCCAGATGAGCCTCATGAGGTTCAACAAATCCAAATGCAAGATCTTGCACCTGGGTCGAGGCAACATCCACTAGCAATACAGGCTGGAGAATGACAGGATTGAGTGTAGCTCTGCTGAAAAAGCTGGGGGATGGGAAGCTGGACATGAGCCATCAATGTGCCCTCACAGCCCAGAAAACCAACTGTATCCTGGGCTGCATCAAAAGGAGCGTGGCTAGCAGAGTGAAGATGATGACCCTACCCCTCAACTCTGCGCTGGCGAGACCTCACCTGGAGTACTGCATCCAGATATGGAGTCCTCAGTACAGGAGAGACATGGACCTGTTGGAATGTGTCCAGAGAAGGACCACAAAAATGATCCGAGGGATGGAACACCTCTCCTGTGAGGACAGACTGTGAGAGCTGGGGCTGTTCAGCCTGGAGGAGAGAAGGCTGCAAGCTGACCTGATAGCAGCCTTTCAGTATCTAAAGGGGAGTTACTGGAAAGAAGGGGACTGAGTCTGTGATGATAGAACAAGGGGAAATGGTTTCAAGCTCAAAGAGGGTAGATTTAGTTTGGATAAAGGGGAAAAAGTGTTTTACAGTGGGGGCGATGAGACACTGGAACAGGTTGCCCAGTGATGTGGTGAATGCCCTGTCCTTGCAGACATTCAAAGTGAGACTGGACCAGGCTCTGGGCAGTGTGATCTGGCTGTGCACGTCCCTGTTCATTGCAGGGGAGTTGGACTAGATGGCCTTTAAAAGTCCTTTCCAACTCTAAGGATTCTGTGATTCTAAGGCTGAAATGCCGTCATAGAATGCAATAATCTAGGAGGGCTACTCCAAAAGTAATGCCTCCTATTTTATTAAGTCAGCTCACGATAGCATAGGCAGATGTTAGTGGTCTGGTGGTAGGGGCTGGACCTTTCCACCAATATTCCATTACATTTTGTTGCTGTGTGACAGCAGCAGTGGGACAGTCTGACAAAACGGTGTCTGACATGGCAGCGCATATGAAGCAAAAGTGTGACACTCAATTCCTTGTGGAAAAGATGGCACTCATTGACATTCATTGATGCTTGCTGAATGCTTATGGAGATCAAACAGTGGCTATTTGAAAGGGACAGTATATGTAGGTTGCTTCAAAAGTAATGCTTCCTATTTATTTCCATGGAAACTACGATAGATACAAAGAGCACAAGAACACCATCTGATAGTGTAAATTCTCTGCAACAAAACACTATTTTTCAATGTAGTCCTTTTGAAATATGACAGAATGGCAGTTCATACTGCTGACTGTGCTTTTTGTTAACCACTTATTAAATGAGTAGGAGTGTAGTAATTTGCTTGTGTTTTTAGAATGCGACTGAGGGGAGGAGTGGGGGAACAGGACACTCATGGAAATTGCTGTGTGACTGATTTGGTTTTGTTTTGCTTTCTTCCTGAAACGATGGCACAGCAGATTATAAATGTAAGAATATTTCCTGAATGCCATCATTATGACACCTTTGATATAGAAAACTCTTTGTGTTTTTGACTCTACTCTTGTATTCTGTGAGACACGAAGTGAACAGCTGATTTGATGGTGTGGTTGCTGTAGCATTCTGCTCTGTCACCTACAGGTGTTTTTAGCAAGATGTGTGATTCACTAATTTCAATTCATATACTTGACACCCTCCAGAAATATAATAGTAAGGTAACAAGTAGTGATGGTTTTGTGGCTTTTTTTTTTCAATGAGAGAAAAACTGAGTTCCAGAGAAAAAAAGCAATAAATTAGAAAGATATTTCTGTAGCATGTGGGTGTGTAGGAGTAATTCGTAGACCCTGCTGAGGGCTGACCTGTCTATCAACATGCAGAGTCTAGTAGAGACAAGTTTTCCTCTTACTTGCCTCACCAGCTGCTTTAATTTCATTAGTATAGGAATTGGTAAAACATCTGGAAAGATTTCATTTGCTAACAGTTTCAGAATATGTTAGATTGTCACTGAAGCTAAATATTTTACTATACAGGGCAAGGAAAGAAATGTGAGAGGGAGGAGATGAAGTGACATGACTGTGTGGTGCATAGATACCTGCTGCATTAAACCACAACAGTGACATACACAGTTTCAACTCTGTCCTCCTTAGAGAAATCATCTGCTGTCTGTCTTTGTTTTCAGGATGAGTGTACAAACAATCAGAAATGTTTTCAGTGTGGAAACCGGTTACCGCCTTTCTGATGACCAAATTGTCAACCATTTCCCCAATCACTACGAACTGACCAGAAAAGATTTGATGGTAAAGAACATCAAACGATATAGGAAAGAACTTGAGAAGGAAGGAAGTCCTCTTGCAGAAAAGGATGAAAATGGAAAATATATTTATTTGGGTATGTGGTTCTCATTATCAATGTTAACTTTGTCTTCTGTGTTGCTGATAAGCTGATGGCATTGTAACTTACAGAAACAGAACAGCACATTAATAAAAATATTCTAATGTACATGTTGAGCAACTTTTATACAATGAATTTTGTGAGAAAAACTGTTGCTTGCAAGTAGTCCAAGCAACCGAGATTGCCCATTTTTACCAGTTTGTCTTCGGAGACGTAAAACTGATGTATTTTAATTATCACATGGAGATAATTTAACTGCAGCGTAGCTTGTCTTCCAGTAGGAAAGGAATTCTGCTAGGTTTTCTGAACTTCTAAAGTGTTACAACACTCAAGTGTCTATCTGTCAGCAGGTGCTCTGTCAATAACAGTCAGTTAAACAGAATAAAGTGTACTCTATCCTAAAACTGATCTGTGTTCTGCAAATGTTACAGTCTTCTTTCCTTGTCTTTTCCTCCTTCACACTTCCTAAAAAGCTGTCATTAGAGCATAAGGAAACAGATAGGAATAGGGAAAATGATTAAAGACAGTAGTAGCAAACATTTCATGTGAAAAGCTTGGAAAATATAGCATTTCATAAACTTTGTTTTGAAGCATAATAGCTAATGTTTTATAAATTTGAGAGAAACAGAGTGTGCGGTTTGTTCAAGAACTGCTGAAAACAGAGACAAAGGAAGACTAAAAGATTGCTTCTGTCATACTACTACAACAGTAATGTGGTTCTGCCACTGTTTACTTGCAAGCATTCAGCAATATTTAAAGAGAAGAACACATCCAGTTTGTATGTGTTAAACTTGTATTTAGATATGTTTGGGTAAGTAAGGTGCTTAATGAAAACTGAACTTATTGGTGCAATATTAGCTGAAGAAACATGGGCTGAAGTGATCATGAAATGATTATGTTAGAATATACAGAATAGATTTATAAGTGTGTGTGTGTATTTATATATATAATTTTTAAGTGGGAATATTATGAGATTAAGATAGTTTGCCCTAAGATCACTGATGGAACAGAATGACCCTGGAACATCAGATTAAAAAAAAAAAAGGCTGGAGTTTCTTTAAGTCAAATCTGGGAAGGAAAAAAAAAAATATATATATATATATCTGGAAATCCTATACTGGATCAAGAACTTAAATATTTTTTGGCAGAAAGGCTCCTGCCAGAAGTGAATGGATAAGCTTTTCAGAGGCAAAATTTAGGGGAAGTTGGAGAACTGATGATGACTAGTAGGCAATAAAATTTAAAAAGCAAAAAAGCATCAAAACAGTAGATTGGGGGAGAGAAGAGCAAAGTTGTCTTGGAGGGCAACAAACATTGCAGTGGAATAGAGATGGGGATGTGCCGAGTTGATTTACATCCAGGGAAAGTGAAATGAAATCACTGTTCATCCATGTAAGAGAGAGTTAGTGCTATATGGCTGGAACTGAGAATAATCAGATAGCAAAAAGCAAGAAATACCTTTCTTTAGATTTCAGCAAGTATGGTAACACTGAGTCTGAGAATAATGAAAAAATGACTCATGTGAGTAGCACAGAAATTAAAAATTACCACATCTGAAGAGGAAACAACATCAACATTTGGGTATTTGCGTGTACAGAGAGGATGACAGGATGGGATGGCTTGCAGAGTGGTAACAGCTGACATATGAAGATGAGGAAATCTGCTAACAACAGTTTAGTTGCAGTGGTGTATAATACTGTAATTGGGCATCATTTAAACAGAAGAAAAATGATTCAAATAAATTAAAGTTCACTAGTCTGAAATTAGCAGCATACAATATAAAAACATTCTTTAAGTAAAAATCATAAACTAAATGAAATAAAAAGCAGCATGTGTTTTATTAGAAGTTGATCATGCCAGATTAGAAAAACTTAGTCTATATTAATGAAGATTCCTCTTTAGATGTACTGTCCTTAATGGTGCACTCTTTTTTTTTTTTTTTTGACTCAGATTTTGTTCCAGTAACTTTTATGCTTCCTGCTGATTATAATCTCTTCGTTGAAGAATTCAGAAAGAATCCCTCCAGCACTTGGATTATGAAACCTTGTGGTAAAGCTCAGGGAAAAGGAATATTTCTAATCAATAAACTGTCTCAAATTAAAAAATGGTCTCGAGATAGCAAAACATCCTCGTAAGTGCTTAAAAACTAAAGCCATTCTTGTACTTTGTATAATCAGGTGAACCACATCAGCATGCTGGTAGTCTGATGCATGGGAAAGTTATTCTGCTGTTATTGCTTTGTCATTATATAGATAGTTTTGCATTTAATCTCAGTTATCTGACTTTGTCATTCAAACAGGTCTTAATATGGCTTATATTGGTGTGAGAAGATATAAAGAACAGTTAGAATAACTATTCTCTACAAAAAATGCTTTCAGTGTCTTTGGGGTAACGTGCAAAAACAAATTGTTCTTCTCTGTAATGTTAAATAACAGGAAGTGAAGAAAAAAATCTTTCCCTGAGCAATTTGTATCATGATTTTATTTAATACATATTGATTCACTTCTTAAATTAGTACAGAGGAGGAATGTGCATATATGAAATAAATCCATTGTCTGTTTGGAGCACAAAGGAGTATACCTCATGTTGGTGTCCTGCTTTCAAATGGACTTAATGGTGTAGCAACCTATGCTTTTCTCTGACTAAAAAGTGTTCTGATCACAAAACTAATGCTAATTTTTTCCCGTTACAAGTTGACTGGCTAAATACCCCTCGAGACTTTTTTTTCTGTTTATCTTGGAATCTGAAGAATGTCACAGTCTGAAAGCCAGCTTTTCACAGTGGTTTGCCTTGGCAAACCAAGCATAAATACAAACATTCTAGGAATATAAGGCCCTAAATAACGAAGGTAATGTAATACATGCTCCTTGCTTGTCTGTACTGTGACAAGCTCTAGATGTTCTCAATGGAAAAGACTGGTGTGTATAACTGCTTTCTGAGTGGCTCAGTTAGCTGCCCTGCCACCTTCAAAACTGAGTTTTAATGATTAATTAATATTGGTCTTTAAGTTCGTATTTTAGACTTGCCCTTTTTTTTTTTGTACATAATGCCTGCTGCCAAGTGTGTTATTGTTAACCAGTATAACTTTATACATTGTTTTGTCAGTAAGATGCAAGATGTCTGTTAATTCAAAACTTACAGACTGCTTGCTTATGTGTTTCAGGTTTGTATCTCAGTCTTCCAAAGAAGCCTATGTGATTTCTCTCTATATCAATAATCCATTACTGATTGGGGGAAAGAAGTTTGACCTTCGTCTGTATGTTTTGGTATCTACATATCGCCCACTGAGATGTTACATGTAAGACTGTGTATAGATGTGTTTCATTGCAAGAGAACATTTAATGTAGTCAAAATAATGTTGCCAGTGTTGCATAAAGAAGTTTAATGTGTATGCATATCCTAGGATGATCTTTTCCTTACTTTTTACTGGGATTTAACATACATTAATGACTTTTTGCATTTAAGGTATAAACTTGGATTTTGCCGATTTTGCACAGTAAAATATACACCAAGTACAAGTGAACTGGATAACATGTTTGTACATCTTACAAATGTTGCCATTCAGAAACATGGGGTAAGTGTACCAAGTTCTTAGGTGCTATTCTCTTACAAGACTGATTTTCTTAAGCTGTTCCAAAAAATTGGAATAAGAAAGCTCTATTTGTCATATTCTTCATCATCTTGCAATTAAAATGTCTCAGCTTGACCTTAAAAATAAGTTTTAGAAGACTGCAGATAAAATGTATGCAAGATAAGGAACTGCAAGTTCTGTAATTGACTGTGATGCCTTCAGTCTTGACTTGCAGTAGTTGAAAGCAATTTCTTTCCAAGTCTCCTGTCATTTAAATGCTAATGTACTCATTTAGCAATTGGTTCTGTGAGCAGTGGAATTAATGAAGCCTGGTTCCCGTGGATCTGCATTTTATAATGGCACTTGAATATCTCCTTCCTGATCTCCCCTTCCCTTTTTCTTGGCCATGAAGTTAATTCAGCTTTCCTCTTTTCCAGCACTTATTTATCACAGTGGCTTCCAGCATTTTCCTACGTTTCCACCCTCTTTCTTCTCTGTGTAACAAAGGGAATGTACGTTTGTGGGCTTGTGATAAATGTTCGCTTCCTGGCCAGCTAGTGGCTTCCTCTGGAAAGTGTAGAGATAGAATTCTGCCTGCACAACTGTTCCGTCCTCTAATTTGCTGTTGATGTTCTTAAAACGAATGTGTGGAAACCTGATAGCTTTGACAGCATTCCCCTCTGTCCAAATAAGCTGATATTTCCCAGTAGGAGGAAAGGCAAGTGGGTTAGAGGTGACATTAACAGTTGGATGTGTAGTATCACTGCCTGAGCCTTATTTCTTCAGGGAATCCACTTGATGATGATTATTGACCTGTTTGCATTTTAGCAGATGACTGTGATTTATAAAACATGCCTCTGCTACAGGAATTTAAACTATTGTTTCACTTCCTAATCTTGTGAGTTTCATTTTTTTAAGAGCACTGAAAATATGTATGTATCCATAAATGTTTGTGTATACACACGCATGTGCATTCACAAAACAAACATGCCTTGTCTGTTATTGCTTTGTAAGATGTGCAGCACAGCAGAGCTGTTTTTTATCTGGATATTCCTGTAATAAAAATTTCAACTGTGAATGTCACTTATGATGGTAATCATAAACCAGAGTAAGTGTGAAAATATGGGGTTTCTTTTTTTTTTTTAGTACTACAAATATTTTCTCGCCTGGGTGCTGATTTGTGAATTGCTTTTGAGATGTTATGATTTGAAAGGGCACACTGAGAATTAGTTGTAGTGAAAGTAGATCCCATACAACATAGAGTGTAAGTCATGGTTTTGTTGCCAGCAGCAGAGAAGAGATGAGGCATATGGTATGCTGCCTGTCCTGTTATCATTCAGCCTTTCGTCTTCCATTTAAAACTTGTCTGCAACTTTGGAGGCAGCTGTACAGTTTAGAATAACCTAATTTGAACTGTCAAGTGATTTATCAAAATTATGATAAGGTCTGGAAAATCTTTTAGGTTCTAGCCATTCAACTTTACCCTAAACTCTGCGTGAACTCTGGAGTTCCACTGTGTCTGTACCACACAAGCTCATGGGAAAGCATCAACAAATTGAAAAGCTTATAATGTTGTATCAGGGAGAGGGAAAGGTTAAAGAAAAGAAAGGAGGATTAAATGTGCCCATTGTAATGTTTCTGCTAGAAAATATAATTGTACTTAGTTGTTCACTGTGTGTGTAATGCAAGCAAAGCAAAAGTGATTCTTCTACTTCATTGTTTTTAGTTAGTAATATGCCATGTTGCCTGCAATATTCTTCTTTGTTTTGGTATTTTTGTCTACACAGCTGTGATTGTGCACAGCTCTGTCTGTTTGCAATCTATTTTGATTTTGAGTACTTATTTTGAAATGCAAAGAGGGTTGAAAAGTTGATCTCTGTCCCCTTTCTGGAATCTGTGATCTTAAGACACTTTTTCCATGGAACGAGTCCTGAGAGCCATGTTTCAGATCTTTATTTGTCTATCAAATTTACTGTGGGGGGAAGTTGTAGGAAACAAACAAAAACCTCTAAAAATTGATGAGAGGTTTCTTTGACCTTGTTTTGGAGGATGAAAGGTTTGATTCTTCTGACAACTTATCCTACTGTAGGCATTCCGTGTTTTATGATTTAGCAGGTATAGAGTCATTAACTCTTAGAAACACTCTGAGGAGAATGTTCAAAAAGGGACAAAATGTTTGTCCTGTGAGCTATTTGAGAAATGAGGGTGTCTTTCCATCAGTAAAAATACCTTCACCTTGCTTTTGCCTTTCCATTTAAAGAGAATATATTGCAGGGCATTGATTGCCTCTGAAAAGACAAATATAAAGTAACCTCCTTTTTTCCCCTATTCTGTTTCAGTAGTACTTAATGTGTTTTCTACCTTAAATACTGAATTACCTAAGAAAACAATATTTAAAGGTAATTCAGGTGTTATTTCAATGTCTTCATGATTGCAGCTGTTGTCAGTTGCACCATTAAGAGTATATAATAGTTGTCTATTTCCTGAAAAGACAAGTCCTTTTAAGTTGAGATTTATTTGATTTGTGCTGTGTCATATAATGCTTGCAGCTGTAATACAAATGGTCATTTGTGTAGAGGGCAGTTTAAAGCAGAAGACTTCATAAATATGTAAAACAGTAAAAACAATTTGCTAAGTTCATTTTTAAGGCAATATTTGCATGCAGGTAGAAGTGGGCTCTTTATGTGAATGGAACAAAACTGCTGAGCAACTTCAGAATCTTAAAGACTGACTTAATTCCTTGACTCTCCAGGATGATTACAATCATATCCATGGAGGCAAGTGGACAGTGAGTAACTTGCGCCTGTATCTAGAAAGCACCCGTGGAAAGGAAGTTACAAACAAATTATTTGATGAAATTCACTGGATAATCGTGCAGTCGCTGAAGGCTGTCGCGGTGAGTACTGTGCCTAGAATGCTGTTGGTGACAACATCATGGCTGCAGGATTTTCGTAACAGTGAAAGTGAGTTTGCCACCAAAAAACCCTGAAATTTATTTCCTGCTTTTTGAGTGACAACACTGATGCCAATTTCTGCAATTCTGTGATCTGCTGATTTGTCTGAGCTGAGTGAATTTGAATCTTGTGTGGGTGAGCATGCTGAAGAGCTGAATGAATCTGTCTCCTTGAGGGTCCTTTGAACTAATTAATATCACTAGGTACAGCCCTTGTGAATAGTATTGAGATCTACCAAGGCCGTGATGTCATTTCAGCAATAATGTGTCAAATTAAAAATAGCTATGGAGAACAACTTATTGCACAAAATGTTGAAGGGTATTAGCTTAGCAGATTTGCATAGCTTATTTTCAGCTCTGCTATACGGGTCATGTAGTTATCCATGAAATGTTATCTTTTTTTTTTTTCTTTATAATAGTTTTCTGCTTGAGTGACTTTCTAGCTTGGATCATATCCCATGATTATGTTAAAGAGCAGGTACCATGCCATGGGTCAGCATGGGTAACGGAAGAGTTTTCTGCTGCCAAGAACGGCCTGTTCTCAAGTGCGTGGTCTTGTCATCTCTCTTGGGCTGGTCCTGGCACCATTTCGAGATGAATCAGCTCATTCTTCCAAATGAAAATTACTTATTTTATTGATGGGTTAGTATTCTGCTACTGTAATAAGCTGAATCACCTGACTGAAGGATCAGATGGATGCCAGAAGCAGCACAAGAAAGAGGGACAAGGTCGTGAAGCTAGGATCAATGGGAGGTGGGAAAGCATGGCTCAGCTCGGCCTCTGCTATGCAATCACTTTTAAAACCAGATATGAGAGGAAAAGGGATTTAATCCAATTGTTTGCAGAAGCTTAGGAGAAAAGGTTTTGAGAAAATAGAGGACAAAATGTTTTGATCAACTTCAGTACTTCTCTGTCTGTCAGAGAATGGCAAATGTAACGAGAGATGCTCATTCCTCCTTTCCCTCTTTCACTCCCTAAGGAACTGAAAAGCTTTCATTATTAGTCTAGGGGAAACCATCTCGCTAACCTGTTACAAAGGTTTCTTTAAAAGATCTGATGAGATTTATATAAAAGTCCTGGCATGCATGCTGTAAATCCTTTGCAGAGGCTGGAAAACTGACTCTCCAGAGAGTGTGCTTCTAAGCACAACTTGATCCTTGGTCTCTGTTGGCTTTCAAGATCACAGATGACTTGAACTAACTGTAGATTTAAAAAGTGTCTGGTAATTGTTTGACCTCAAATTTCTGCAACGAAGGAAATGTCCATGAATAAGTCTTCTATCTCTGAAGCATAAATCATTCATGATTATGTGAAGCTCTGTTATGTACATTTTAAAATCTCCTGATTTCTCTGGGTATGTGCAGGCTGTAAATATTCTTACTACTTCTGCAAAATATGAGAACGCTTTTATTTTAAAACTGGAAACATGATAGAATACTAATGCAATTTGGTACTTGGCATTAATGCAGTCATTAATATTGAAATATTTACCGAGAGCTTGAGGAGAAAAAGAGTCCTGAAATTATTTTTAAGTTTACACTAGAGTAATGTTAGCATATGTATTTTAGTGTTATGTTAGCTTATGTTGTAAATGATTTGTAATCACATGACTTCCAGCCAAGAAAGTGTGTAATCAGGTTACTTAGGAAGTTGTCGGTTTTAACATATACTTTTGTCTTTTCTAGCCTGTAATGAATAATGATAAACACTGCTTTGAGTGCTATGGATATGACATTATCATTGATGACAAGCTTAAGCCGTGGCTAATTGAGGTAAAGTCACACAAAATACAGAAATAACTTCCCACTGATTTTCTTTCACAATATAAAACCAAGTAGATTTACATGTAGTCGTTTCTGTTTTGAAGCTTTGTCTTTTATTCCTCCAGTAAGTGGATTAGGCAAAACATTAGAAAGTAAAATGGACCTTGTGATGACCAAGCTAGCATGTGCTTTTTAAAATTTCGATTTCTTTTGTCTTTTTGTTTGTGGCTTTCAGTTTTGTCTTCTAAATCCATGCATCCATGTAATTAGACTTCAGAGGCCACCTGAATGTTAGCAGTCCTGTTAGATACTCTATGAGTAGCTGGAAAAAGATAACTCCATGGGGAGTAACACTTAAAATAATTGGGATGTTTGGAAGGCTTCTTTTGTAAAAAGAATTTAGTATATCAAATTTGGATCTGTATGTTCAGTGTAAATTCTATCTAAACATCTTTCTTCTCAATCTTATTGAAGTGGAAGATCAAAGCTGTTTATTGTTGTGGTACTGTTTCCCCATAACAAATGTGGAATGCAAGAGATATGTTAAACTAACCCCAGCTTTAGCCCTCACTAAAAAAAATAATATGCAATTGAGTGTTTTGAATAGAGACATGGAGCATATGTGTTTCTTCAGCTCACAATTCAAAAGGGAAAAACTTGAATTAAGAACATGAATAAAAGCTATTTAACTAGAAGAAACCAACAGATTCCTTTGTGTAACAAACATTGGAGTGAACCAGGCACTGAAATTTATGGTTTTGGTATCCATAGAAGCTTAGAAAACTAAACAAAAATGTCTGGCTTTTCTGCTTGACCCTGGGTAACTTAAAGAAAAATCTTCAGGCTGACGCTGCAGACACTTCAGTTTTAAGTTTAAGAAAAAAAAATTCCAATGGGGGATTCCTTTCAACATCTGAGGAAGTGAAAGATGTGCTTTGAGACGCTGATTCTTGATTGCTCAAATAATACATAGTCATCACACATGCTGTTTAGAGAACTATACCACTCATAAAAAATGATTCTTTTTTTTTGTAGGTTAATGCTTCCCCTTCTCTTACTTCCAGTACTGCTAATGATCGCATCTTGAAGTACAATCTCATTAATGACACACTTAACATTGCTGTGCCTAATGGGGAAATTCCAGACTGTAAATGGAATAAATCTCCACCTAAAGAGGTTCTTGGCAATTATGAAGTCTTGTAAGTTTTAGCATTGTTTTGTATAACTGCAAATGCTTTTCAGTCATCTCACTTCTTTTAATGTGTAACGTAGACCAAAGCGATAAGGCAAACTTTATTCTCCCATGTAGAACAGACACAAGGATACCACTTCATTTTTTGAGGCTGTATTAGCAGCTTTGGAGGTGGGAGTGTGTCCTTTGCTTTCTCAGGGAATCTTATTTGTCTGATAAACCCTTGCGTGTACTGAGCTTCCAGCAGCTTCTGCGTGTGTAGAAGTCTTAATTGTATTAAGTGCAATATATAGACTGTAGTTAAACATACAAAACTTGCATCAAATAGTTATTACCCTTACATTCACAGAATTGATGGTATTTGAGTCTTGTAGATCTTAGATGTAATAATAATAATGTAGTACCAGATATTTTTTTAATTACCAAATTCAGTATTATTAAAGGGAAAATCAGCAGGCATTTTTACATTGAAGTATCTGAAGTATTAGTCTAGGATTGATCTCATGCAGAGGAACACTGTTGTCGTGACCATATTGATTACAGTTTCACATACTTACTGAGAAAAGGCTCAGTTAGGTTCTCAAACCCTAATGGTGCAGCTGTTTAGTATATAAAGAATGTGGTTATGTACATAGCCCAGTATTTTATGCCAATCTTACACTCTTTCTAGATATTAGTAAAGACAATTAAATATGTTGGCTGGATTATAAATTAATTTTTAATGTATTTGCAGCTACCATGTAACATTCTTGTACAAGAGTATAACTAATCATATATTATGAATGCTCTACAAAATATTGTAGTATTATCTTTTGATAATCATACATAAGCATCTGTAGTCAATGTCTGTTTCTAATTTGCACAGCAACTGAGAAGTAAGTATATACTGAGGTTATCTGAGACTCTAATGGGCTTAGATATTTAAAGAACTACTTGCCACTGTGGTTAAGTGTTACAAAATGCACGTCATCAAATGCATTTGGTTAAGCACACTGTTGTTTGTTCAGCTCATTTTTTTCCTACTCACTCAGTGTTGCAACAATGGAGTTTTCTAACACTGCAGTTAGCAATCCCCTGCTTGAAGCAATAGCTTAAGATTGGATTAAAGTGCCAGCACTCTGATGTTCCTGCTCTGCTGTGTAAGAGCAATATTGAGAAGGGCAGAAGTAGACATGAAATTTCACAAGCATGAAATTTCACAAACTCTGTAATTGAACCAAAGCTACCAAGCAGTCTGTCTCTTACAAAAACTAGCTGAGGATGTTTCAGTTGGTCTGTATTGTCTTCTGTCTTCTTTAGATATGATGAGGAGATGGCGCAAAGCGATGGTTCTGATCGTGACTTGCGAAGTCGTTCTGGGCAATCCACTGGAACAAAAGGAAATCGTGGGAGAGATTCAGGAAAGCCTGTACTAACCACCTGGAAATAGTGATTAAGCAGAACAGCTGCTGAGTTGGTAGGACAGCATCATGAAAAAATGAGTTCATGAACAGATTTCTCTATTTTGCCGTGTTGTATGAGGGAAACAATCAAAGAAAACAATACAGCCTTTGAAAATAAGTGAAATGAGCACTCCAAAACCAGGATCTTTATAATACATGCACTGACTTGCCAATTATAATAATTATACACATGCGTGTGTAAATATATTTAAAATGTATAATTTATGTAATTAATTTAATACAAGAATATTTAAGCTTGTAGTTCTCTGAAAGCAACAAATTTTTAGAAGCATCTCTGTTCAGACTGTTGGAGAAGCCAGTAATTATCATGAGGTTTCTTTATAAAGATGACTTTTAAGAATACATGTTCTGATATACAGAGCAACAAGTAGCTTGTGTCTGCATTCTTATAATAAAAGAGATACAAATAATGGGAAAGAGTGGTAGTGATGAGCATCGATATTGTCACAATGGTGGTTCAGCTTCTTGCTAGGAAAAAAAAAAAACAACTAACAAGAGAAAACAGCAGGGTATGGAGGTGAGATTACTGTCAATTAAAGCAGCCTAGGTACTTGAAAAGTAAATCTTTACATGCAGGGTTTTTTGTTTGTTTGTTTTTGGTGTTTTTGTTTTGTTTTTTTGTTCTGCCTTTAGATATTTTTGAGGTGATAATTCTTTAAAAGTAGAGAGTTTCATATAAACAGGGGATGTTTCAGGTAGTATGTTGATGCATTATCGGGCTAGCCATTAGTTTTTATTGCAAGGTAATTTGTCTTTGGAAAATAAGACAGAACATCTAACACTGTAATAAATCTCACTGCTTGAGAATGGCTGTAAATTGACTGGCTGTAAATCTTTACTTGCACTAGAATTTCTTCATGTATCTACACATGTAAGTACTTCTGTGTCTTTCTGTATATTTTGTATGTACTGCCCCAAAAATATTGTTGCATGTGATAAACTATTTCTAGCTCTGATATCAAGAGTTGTGATGATTAGATACCAAAATGTATAGAGCAAAAGTTAAAAATAGGTATTTTGGTCTTCTAACAGCATAGTATATGAAATAACTAGTTGGGTCCATCAGTGGCTACTTTCACTCTCATTTCCTCCAGTTGTTGAGCTGTTACTTATAATAATGTCTGGATGTGCAGTTCTGATAATCTTTTCTCATCATTTTTCTCTCTTCTCATTCCCCTCCCCCTTTATTTTTTTTTTCTTTGATGGTGAAGTGTTATGGACAGAAAGACAAAAGGAGGCTTAAAGTTACAAATATCCATGCACCTGTAATAAATTCTAATCTGGATATCACTAATGCAGCAATACTCAATTTCTGTCTGTCACAGCAGGGTGCTTTTCACCTTCTTGTGGCAAGGCTGCGTAAGTGCCTGCATTGTAAACTTAGCCTCTCCCGATGCCCTTAGACATGATCTGGGATTCATCCTTGCAAAAAAGAATGAAATACATGGACTAAATTGGTCACTCCAAGAATAATTTTTGTCTTTATTAATCTTGACTATTTATTTGAAATAAAGACCAGAATATAGCTGACTGCCTGGTCATTAGACTTAATGAATCTTCTCACTGGCCTTTACAAAAGCATATTCAACTTGACGCATGAAGTAAGTTAAAATTATTGCATGGCAGTGAAGCTCTTCTAAATCCCAGGTCTCATAGCTGTTAGATTTGGTGTGTTTCATTCTTTAATTCTTGAACCTGAGTTTTTTGCTTCAGTACTTGAACCTTGGCAGGTAAGCCACTCATAAGTAGATGTACAGTCAGATATTGTGTTGTGTTAATGACATGATACTTAGACATTTCCTGCTTTTGCCCAAATTGTCTGTTACTACAAAGTATGTAACAAGTTGACAACCTTATGAAATAATAGGCTGTAGAATTCTGTAGTATGGTTGTATTTCTTACAGGTAATGGAACAGGGATGCTTGGATAGAAGGAAAACAGCTTTCTCTCACTTTAATTTTCACTGCTTTTAACTCATTTCTCTAATAGCCTGTGCAAAGGATGTTACTGTGGTCTTGTTATAACAGCAGTGCTTGCAAGTGAGGCTACAATAGAATGATTATTCTTCCCCTTTATCTTTTTCCTGTTTGTGCAGCCTACACTGGTGGGGCTCTATAGGGAAGAGGTATATTGAAAAATGCTGATTCTGCTGAAAAAGTCAACTGTACTATAGCTTTTTAAGTGTGCAGAAGCATTATATACTAAGCTAGCTGCAGGACTTGCAGTCTGCCTTTTGGGAAAAAGCTTAGCATGAAAGTAAGAACAAGTCCAGGTTATTGGCATTTATTGGTGTAGAAGGCTTTAGAGAACTGTGTACTTGTGATTTCACAGTGAACCAAAACTGGTTATAATTTCAAAATAATGTTGTTCTTCCAAACTCATGTGTATGTGGTACTCTGTGTTGGCAGTAGTGGTGTCATTGCAACTAGCTGATGAGTTGAATCATGGCCTCGAGAACAGGCATTGGCAAGACATACCGAATAGGTACTTAATATTTTACTGATATTGAATATTCTCATTTAATTAATAGAAGGTTTCTAATGGCTTGGAAAGAGCCAACTCATTTGAGCTTGCATTTTAATTAATCAGTATAATAGCGAATTCCTTTCAGTCCTGACTTCAGAGCAATCATTATCATATTGAAGTCTTACTACTGCTTTCAGAAAATAAGGATTTCTATCTCGCTTCTATTTCATTCACACATTTCAAGAGCAGTACTTTATACAGACAATATTTTTGCAGCAGAGCTATCGATTTGGAACTGGCAAATGCTTCTCTCTTGCCACTTGGAGTAGTGGGAAAGCAGATTTCAAATACCTTATGTGAGGATGAAATGTCTGTTAGATATTTCAAAGATTATCATCACTATCTCAATATCAAAACAGTAACATTACTAATCGGAGAGGGAAAAAACAACAGTTCTGATATGAAACTTTCACTATGTAGTAATAAAAAACTAGAATTTAGATTTCAGATGTTGATATAGCATTTTACACAGTTGTATCTTTAACCAATATTGGTAATTTATACTGCAGACACAAACATGGTTTTGATAACGCAGCGTTCTTTAAAGAGCAAGAAGTCAAAGAGACACTGCAGACATAGTGACCCTCTCTTCCTGATCTCACCCCATTCTCTTTTTAAACACAATGGACTAGTGATTAGAAATAGCAGGCTCTTTTCCAACAGGCTTTTTGCAGAGGTTGAAGTTCGAAGACTTAACTATGTTATCACTTTTAATACATTGAAAAAACTGGGTATGCAAAAGAAGTCTTAGGGAACAAGACTGAAATGATGTTAAATAGATGATTAATAGTGCCTTTCTCATTATCAGTAGCAAGCGAGCAAAAAAACAACTGGAAGCAAGCTGGAAGTCTTCCTTTTTTATAAAGAAGTTGAAGTCTCCTCCTATAGATAAGTAGAATGTTCTTGTGAAAATAAAAAGTAGGAACCTACATTATGTAATATCTATTTTCCTCTGAACGATTGGTTGAAAAATACATTGCTTCTTCATTGGAATTTGAGTAAGGAAATAAATGTTTTCTGTGGTAGCTGAGAGTTTGCTCTGTGCATGAAACAACTTGTCTGCATGCTATGAGACGAGGGGATGAGAAGGAAGCAAAAGCAGTCATAGCTTTCAGGGATAGAAGGGTAGTGAACACCGTGCCATGAGATGTTTGTGCGTGGCCTAAAAAGATAAAGGTGAAATTTTCCTTTTGGTGAGAAGGAGAAACCAGAAAGGAAAATTTTATCTCATGTTCAAGATTTTATCGCTGAACATTTCTCTCCAGTGCTCCTTAACGAAATCTACTGCAATAGCAGGGCAGAAATAATGCTACAAAGTGGTGTGTGAACTGATAACAGCCTATGTGTAGCATCTGTCAGTTGAAACTGAGGTCATTAGTCAGATGTGTAAGCCACATGTAGAATGTCTACTATAGGATTTGAAGGGAGTTAAGTAAAGTTTAAGGTAAGGTGTGATGTTAACATGTGTGTTACGAGATGTTAAATGTTGTGTAGATACCTTCATTTGAATGTAAGGAGGCTCTTTTTGCTGGAGTCTAAATTTCCAAAAGAGAAAAGGCTGTTTTACCTCTGTTTGGTGGGGATTAAATGGGTTTAATGGGTTCTGAGCAACTAACCTTGGCCCTAGGCCAATCATATTCAATGCACATTTGACTTTAAGATAAAGAAATTGTTTTGGGTCTCATTGGAGCAAAATAAATGAGAAATAAAAGTCCTCCAAAGTTCTCACTTTGCCTAACATACTAACTGGCTGAGCAAAGTTACAATAAATGTGCTTCTAAGTCTTGCAGTTCATATTCTTAAGTGATCTCTGGTATAACAGCAGTATTGTATGAAGAATTAAATAGACCAGCTCTAAACAACTATGGGAGTTGTTATAATGACATCAGTGTAGAAGGAGCTTATTGCTGGAGTTGAATACTGGGGCTTGCTTCCCGGGCACTAACCTTTCTCCCTATTAATTCTTTGACATGGACGGCATTAATAAGATTCCCACAGAATAGCTTCTTTATGTGGTTTTAGGAACTTAACTAGAATAGAAGAAACAGTATTATCCCTAAAGCTATTTTGTTGCTGTTGGCTTTACAATAGGACTTCTGCCTAAAATGTCCCTGTCCGGATTCGCTTCCTGCTGTAAATGCAGCAAAACAATAGATGTTTCACAGAAGATATATAGTGCTGCACTTCAGCAGGAGAATGTGTCAGGCAGAGCTCATTTATCTGTCATCAAGGAAGGAGCTTTATTCTGTCAGTATAAACTGATGCTGTGTCCAAAGTAGTTACTGTTCAGTTTATGTATGTGCAACTATAACCAGAAGGTAACTTTCATTCTGTGCCTGCCTTATTAAAATAGCTCACTCAATCCCTCAGTTCAGTGGGAAGCACGCTGTGCCATCTGGTATGTGGGTATCACAATATAACACTACTGTCCACAGCTAGCTCTGCTAACCTCTAGCGTTCCTTAACAAAGAAATAACTTTGTTCCTGTATTTCTTGCAGCAAATAAACGTGTAGAGCCGAGAAAAGCTGACTTTGGTCATAATTTTGGTAAAATTCTTGATTATTAAGAGGAAATAGGAAGATAAATGGCTGTCTTGGAAAGAGTGTTTGTTTTTACTGAATAGTAGGAAGTTGCTTGTGCTAGACTTTTGGCTGTTGATTTTTTTTTAAATTATTTAATACTTTCTAAAAATATTTTTAAAAATTTGCTGTCAGAGCTTAGGCGAGCTTCAAGAAACTCACCAAACTTGGAGTAGTCCACAGGCAGGTCTTTTCCAATTGTTTTGATAACATAGTGGGATCCCCTATCATTGACAGAGTCCTCTATGCTTTTAATTAATCACAAATTTTGTACCTCCTGAAAAGCATATCATTCACACTTGAGGTAATCATTGGCAACTGTTGTGAAATAGAAAAGTTAGGACAGTATGAAACTGGTTAAAGAAATGAATGTGGAAAGCAAGGAGATAATAAAGGATGTTTCAAATGAGCTTTTCTTCTGTGAGACGATTTGTATTTGATGAAAACTGGGCAGTTAAACAGTAAAATTAATTAATTGAGTGGAATTAAATTTAATATTCTGAAATTCCATGACATTGATTGGCATATATAACCATTAATGGGAGTACATTTGGAATCAAAATATGGTTCAGGGTTTAATTTAGGTTTTAAACTGTAAACATGTAACACTTGGGATTTTTTTAGCTAGAAATAAAAATGCCGAAGAGAATGCCAAAATGTTACAGTGAGAGCCAAGAAAGAGCAATCAAATTTGCTCTGAGGGAATCTAAGAGAAAAATGTTAGTACTTAAAAGGATACATGAAATTTCTGAGGACAGCAGAGGACACAAAAAGCATATTTAAAAATAGATTGTGTTAAAAATAAAAATAACCGTGGGATACTCATCTAAAAGAAGGGAGGATTATTTATTTATTTATCTATTTATTTATTTATGTACTTATTTATTTTCAGAAAACTTCCTGTTCTGTCCCTTGTGGTCAAAACTGCGTGCCCACCAGTAGGGCTATGTAAACTGTTAGCCTTTCTTCTAAGATAAAGGGTGGAGACAGTCTTTCTCAGGAAGTCACAAACTGAAAGCATCCAAAGAACAACTTAATTTTAATATTTATGGAAAAAAAAATTTGAAAATGCTAAAATCAAGATGAATAATATCATGTTAAAAGTATGATTCACGGTATCATTAAGTTATTTATGGCATCATCATAGTGTCATCGTGCTGGGAGGTTGCATGACTGGTGGTAGATATAATTAGACCGTTAATCTGGTTTAATTCACTTCAAGAAAGTAAATAATGATTGACTATTCATAAAGATAAAATGTAAATTATAAATTGGAAAAACAGTAGTTCACCAACCACTGAGATATTTTCCTCCAAGCAGTTTTTTAAGTGCATGTATGCAGTGCATGTGGCCTCGAGCCTGTATGTATGTATGTATGTATACATGCATTAAACTGTACTACCATCAGAAATGAATCAAATCGAGCAGCAACGTGTGTATTAATTCTAGTGCAGACAATTTCTGCCTTCAGGTATGGAGGTAACATGTAACACTTGGGAAGATCAATAACATCGATCCAAAATGTAGACTATGGCAACTTTGATAATATTTTGTTAACTGTTTCAAATGATACACTTGGAAAAGGGGTAATAATTTTACAGTTAAAAATTGTATTCTTAAAGTTGTCGTTATTTTCTTATTTGGTTCCAAAAGTGTCTAAGCAATTTTTTCAACTGAATGTAAAAAGCATGGGAAATGTTTTGTACCCAGAGGACAGTATTCAGCTGCTTGAAAATGGTTTTCCCTAAAGTGGTGCCTCAAGGATCCTTCAAATCTTAAATGTTCAAGCAAATTATCTTTTGGTGAATATTCTTTTTCTAATTAATCTGCTTTTACTTTTTGTCTTTAAAACGATAATTTTATAGAATTTATAAAGATGCTTAACTGAAAAGTTGTTATTTCTCAAGCTGTATTAAAGTCTGAATCCTGCTAGTAAATGCTTTGTATGTTATTCATTTCTGTTCACCCTCCGTTCCTTAGGAAGGCGGAATCAGTGCAAATCCCGTGTGAAGATGAATCCCAAAATAGCTGTTGCCTTTGCAGTGCGACTGAGGGCTATATTTGTTATAACTATATATGTGTATGTATGTATATAGATAGTATGTCTGTATATAGATATGTATACAAATATGTACATATATATGTGCATATGTTTATATGCGTATTTATACATAAGTGAAATGTATAAGGCTGCAGGGTGACCTCATTGCAGTCTTTCAGTATATAAAGGGAGCCTATAAACAGGATGGGAGATACTCTTTGAAATGGGTAGATAACAGCAGGACAAGGGGAAAAGGTTTTAAGTTGAAGGAGGGAAGATTTAGGTTGGATGTCAGGGGGAAATTCTTTACGGAGAGAGTGGTGAGGTGCTGGAACAGGCTGCCCAGGGAGGTTGTGGATGCTCCGTCCCTGGAGGTGTTCAAGGCCAGATTGGATGGGGCCCTGGGCAGCCTGATCTAGTAATAAATGGGGAGGTTGGTGGCCCTGCCTGTGGCAGGGGGGTTGGAGATTCATGATCCTTGAAGTCCCTTCCAACCTGGGCCGTTCTCTGATTCTCTGTGATTTTATAAGCAAGGCTGAGGAAACTCATGCATGTACACATAACTTGAAGACAAAGGATCTGTTTTCCTTATTTCTGATTTCTTGCTGCCAGACTCAGGGCCTGAATATCTACACTTGTGGAATTTAATTGCTGACTCCACACTCGTCTAAAATATGCTGATTGTTCACAGCTGGTAGCATGCATGTGATTGGCAGTGGCTTCCTGCACAGCAAAGTGAGCTTAGGGTACGAGTCAGTATCCAATCACTTGTATGTGGAGCAGAGTTTTTCCTATCTTCCACCAGTTCCAGGCTGAATTTCTATCCTCTGACAAAGTGGAATGCCCTTTCATCACACCATGAACTTGGTTGTGCCAAAGAAGGAGCTATGACTTACCCTGAATTCCTGTTCCCTTAAACCGTTGAACAAGTTTGAGCATTATTTCACCATACAAATAGATGAATGACTGTTTTGATGTTGAGGCTGAATAAAGTCTAAGTGTTCTGGAAGGGGAGGGCTTCCAGCTTTGACAATGCTTTAGGCAAAACGGAAGCTTGGTTCGTATCTGTGCAGAAAGAGGGGTATTTATGATTGTATGTATTGGTTGTAATCTCCTGCAAGGAGAGCTGGTTTATGCAAAACTCCCTCTCATGTTTAATGAGAAAGATTGTGCAAAAAAACATGGATAGGTCTGCTGGCAGAAAGTAGAGAGGAAACAAGACTGAATTTCAAGATACCTTCCCACCAACCTGAAATGTTAACTTTCAACATAGGACAGAGAATAAGGGGAGATTTGGGAGGGGAGAAAAAAATTACGTTTGAAAGCTTAACAGCCTGACCAAAGCTTACGGTATTGCTAGCTGCCACTCAAACCAAGCTATTGAGGACAGGTAAACCTTACCCCAACGCTGTGCTCACACACTCCTATCGGGCTAATCGAAATTCCCTAAATTCCTACAAGTCCTTAAGTTAATGAGTCATCCGCTTAGTGAAAGAATAGATGAAGCCTTGGCGTTCGGGCCGGTGCGCGCAGCCTAGCGTGCGACGGGCGGTCAGGAGGACGATAGCAGTGTCAGGGCTGCAGCGCAGCTCTGCCCGCTGACCCGGAGCGCACGCCGTCCCCAAGCGGGCCGCCCCGGGACGGCGGGGAGCCAGAGCGGCACCGGGAAGGGCCGACGGGAGGCAAACCCTGAAGCTGCCAGGGAACGAAGGGACGAAACAAGGTTACCGCGACGGCATCCGCCTGGAACCTGAACTAATCCCGTCTAAAACAAGTAGCCTAGCAGATAGGCGAGGGCCGAATATCAGATCTCCCCGCGATAGCGCTCAGGTGCGGCGCGGCCCTGCGTTCCTCGGCCACATCAGCGCTACGGCAGAGGCTGCCCTGCCCTTGGCCAACTCGGGCTGGCGCTCCGCGGTCCCCCCGAGCAGGTCGGGAGCCGGGCAGCAAAGCCACCGCCTGTGCCGCACGGCGGTGCCAGCGGGCACCGCGTTCCTCAGGGAGCCCGCCCTGGGAGAGGGAGGGAAAGCGAAGCCTTCATCGCTCCCGGGCGTTAAAACCTCCCAGCCGCTCTCCGACCGCTGCCGCGACATCCCTGCGGCGCGGGGCGCTAACGGCCGTGGGCGTCCACTGGGGTGCGCGCCCCAATGCTCCCCCACCCCGCTGCCTCCGCCGCCTTTTCCAGCCAGCGACAAGGAAGAGGCATTAATTGGCAGCTGCGGAGAGCCAATGGGCGACGGCGAGGCGGGAACCTGCTCTCCGCCCTCGCCCAATCGGAAGGCGGCTGGGCGTGGGCCAATCGGAGGGGCGGCGGGCGGCAGTTGGTGCGGCCGGAGCAGCGCGGCCGGAGCGCAGGGCGGTTGCTCGCTCTCGTCGGCGCTCCGCGCAATCTCCTTCGCTGCCGGCGGACATCGCGGCCGGCGGCTCGCGGCGCTACGGGGGCTCCAGGTGAGGGCGGAGCCGCCGTTTGGGGCCGCGGCCGAGGGGAGCTGCGCGAGGAGGAGGCTGGGGTTCAGAGCCTCGCGGGGGAGGGGCGGGCGGGGGGTGGTTGGGGCAGCCCGGCGCTCCGTGCTCCGCGGCGGCCGAGGGCGGATGGCGGGCCGGGGCTCGGCGCTCCGCGCTCCCGGGCGAAAGAGGCGGGGCGGGCAGGGTGACAGTTGGGCAGAGCCGCGATGCCGGCGCCGGCCGCGGCGGGGAAGGTGAAGCTCTCCTTGCACGGCGCCTGGCGGGGAAGGGCAGGGCCGGGGCTCGCGGGGAGTGACGACAGCGGCTGGGGAGGCTCCGCTCGTGGCGGAGGGAAGGGCTGGCTGCGCGGGGGAGTTCGGTGGCCCGTCGGGCGCGGGGCTGGCGGCTGCGGGACGGGAGCGGGGGGAGGAGGGCCGGGGGGGAGGCGGGCGTTTGTCCCCGTGCCGTGCCGTGCTGGTGGCGGGTGAGGATAGCGACCCGGTGGGAAGAAGCCTTTCCGCGGGGGAAAGCGAGGTTTTAAACTGCTCGCAGCTTCCCGAGCGCAGTAACGGCCCGTTTACGTCGGGCTTCTCGGGCTTGCCG